CGTTTTCAAAATATTTTATTCCTGAAACTTGACGCTTTGGGGGACGGTGGAGGAGTCCTCCTTCTCTTTGAGGAGTGCGCTCTTGCCGTTTCCAGCAGGAATTAAAACAAACCTCCCGCACCCCAGGAAACAGCCCCTTTGCAGGTTGGCGCAGGTACACGGCGTCTCCAGCCTTGACATCTTGACCTGGAACTTTCTCTGTGGCTTTTGCTCCAAGGCCCCCACTCATTCCTATGGAAAATGCCACTGTCAGCCTGAGGAGAAGTGCGGCATTTCTAAATCCATTCCTCTCAAGTCCTAGAGCTGTTTACAAATGAAGTAACTTCTGCAGTGCACGGTCCATGTACTTACTTGGTTTCCGGCCACCCTCCACTCTGGCTGCTCAGGGAGCCTGGCTGGAGAAGGGCCATGCTGGGGAGCCTGGGGGCCAGGCCCAGGGCTCTCTGACACTGCTGTGCCCCCAGGATTGAGCCTCCCTCCACTCACCCCGCAAGTCCCATCAGTCCCGAGTGTTGGGTCCCAGGGCTGTGGTTGATCTTGATGGCTGACCTCAAGGCACATTTATTCCTTCACAGTTCCGGAAGCCAGAGGCCCGAAGCCCAGGAGGCCACAGGGCCACACCCCACAAGGGCTCTGGGGATAATCCACAGGCCACCTCTCCCACTCAGGGTGGTTCCCGGTGTCCTCAGTCTCAGGGCTGGGGCTGCTCCCCACCATCTCCACCTGTCTTCAGGTCCCCTCTGTGCACATAGTATCCAGCCCCCATATTATATAATTTTTTTCAACAAATTATTTTAATAAAATAAGAGACAGACAACAGAATCGCATGAGTGTCCTGAGAGACATAGAAAAACATCCCATTTGTTCACTTTCTTTTACAGAGGGAAAGGAACTAATGCAAACAGTCAAACAGGCACAATGACCTCTGTGTCTTAGACACAAAGGACCGCTCTAGCTGCTGGACTGTCTTTCTTCCTCTGTTTTGATTTTAAACTTGATTCCACAGGCACACAGAGAGCCTGGTGCACATCCACAAATCCGTAACATGACACCTGACACAGTGACTTCTTCCATTAATGTTGTTTTTGCTCAATGGTCAATGCCTACACTTCACCAAGAGCAAGGGGTCATCACACTGGTTGAAACAGGGACCCCCGCCTCAGCTCCATTGGTCAGTGCTGTAGTCTGGAATGGGATTGTCCTCCAGGGCCCTCATACTAAAGGCCTGGCCCCCAGTTTGGTGCTACTGGGAGGTGGAGGGACCTTTAAAAGGTGGGGCCTGTAGGAGGTGTGAGGTCATTGGGGGTGTGTCCTCAAAGAGGATGTGGGACCCCAGCCACTTTCTGTTTCTCTTTCATCCCAGCCATAGGGTAAGCAGGCTTTTGCTCTTCCACAGGGCCCCTGCTGTGATACACTACCCCAGTCCAGGCCCAAAGGAAACAGGGCCAACTGACCATGGACTGACACCTGCAAAAACGCTAGCCAAATAAACCTTTCTTTTAGAAACTGGTAACTTCAGGCATTTGTTACAGTCGTGGAAAGTTGACAAACACAGTTATAATGTTTTCTGGATTCAAGTTGGCAAAGAAAAATTCCCAAAAGATTGTCTCAGGGTTTTCAAATATGGTTGCACCTCACAGGATGCACCTGGCTTTGACCTTGATTTCACCTTGAGTAGGGTTCCAACTTGTGTGGGCCTATTCCTAAGAAGAAATCCATTTCAGGGCTTTGGCTTTTCTATCTTTGTTCCCTGATGGACCCTGGAGCTCCCTCTGCACCATGGCAATGTCTATGGAGAAGTGGCCCCATCTCAGTTTCTGACCATGTAAAAGTGGCAGCTTGTTCTCTGAGGTTTGGGACCCAACAGTGAGAAGGAAATCACCTGCTCCTCACCTCCCACCCCCATCCGCACATGGTCTCCATGCCGACGGTCCATCCAAGGATGTCTCTTCAAGTCCCTGTTATCTGTTTGGAACACTTTCATATTTGCTTATTTTTCCTAATCTCTTCTCCCCTCTTTTGGCAATGCTACTCGTTATCTTGCAGTTTTCATCTTTATTACTCACGTTTCCTCACAATGAGTCTTCATTAAAATATTTTAAATTGAGACCTTTTCTGCCCTCCCCGCTGAGCCTCCTGGGTCTTTCCACATGACACATTTCAAATTCTTATCGTAGAATTTCAGGCCGTTTGTACATTATATTCTATTAAAAGCTCCATTCCACTCAAGGTTGTCACAATTCAGAGATTACAGCTTTCTGCGGGACATTTTGTTAGGGATATATTCACATACTCACTTTGTTAGCAACAAATCCGGTCCATGAGCCCTGTATTTCACACCTCATTTGATATCACAACGCAACAAAAAGTATAAAAAGAAGCAATTACTTATTTAGATTATGGAATGGATTTTAGAGGAATGTTAGAGAAGCATAAATTGTCACGCGGGTGTAACGCTCGCTGCCCTTGTTACCATCCCAGGAGGTCAGTCTCTAAATGCGAAGGAGGAGGTGGAAGGGAGAGACACGCACCGGAGATCAGGCTGTCTCGGAATTATGTAACTCTGCTTATGTAACTGCCGGTCTTTTTTTTTTTTTTTTTTTTCCTCGTGTAGCCTTGTTAAAAATATCATCTAAAGAAAATGCAAAAATAATTTTCACAAAACCAAAGGGATGACTGCTTTCCAGAGCGCGCGTGGTTCTCTCAGTTTAAAACATTACCACTTAGTCACCTCAGCGGAGCTAATCCGCTGTGCACAGACACAGACATCACCACAGCCTGCCCGAGTCGGGGGCACGGCCGGGAGAGCCCTGACACCAGGGTGGGTGGCGCTGCGGTGGCCAGTGCATCCCATGCCTAACTCCTGTCCCACTGGCGTCCATGACGGCAGAGCCCCTCACTATCTCTGCCCCGTCTGCAAGGCTGGCTGTGCTGCACTCGTCCAGGAAGAGCAGCTTCTCCCTGCAGCGACCGGGTCTTCAGATGGATGTGAGAGCTGCCCCCCACACCCCGCCTCAGGGAAGCCAACCCGGAGCACAGAGCTGACAGGGCCTGGGGAGACACTGGGGCAGCTGGCCCCACACCCTTGTTTCGACCGCCTGAACACCTCCACCTGCTTGGGGCACTTGTGAACGCAGAACCTGTCCCCAAAAGCCCATGTTCCGAGGTGGGCATCTGGAGGTGAGTGGGTCATGGGGGACCACGTTAATACACTGACTGACGGGCTTATAGCCAAATGCTCAGTTAGGGGCAGGGCCTATGCGAGGGGCGGGGGCTTGGGAGGGGCCTGGAAGGGCTCCGCTCCCTCCCAGCTCCACCCCCTCTCTCTGCTTCCTGTGTGCAGTGAAGTGAGCAGCTCCTCCGCCAGGCCCCTTCCACACAGGAGTAGGTTGATCCTGGACTGAAACCAGAAGCTGAAAGAAATCTCTCCTGCCTTAGGCTGTGGATGTCGGATGTTGTGTCCAGTGACAAGACAGTGACTAAGACGGGACCGATGTGGCAGGCAGACCAAGCCCTGGTAAACCAATGCCCAGAGGAAGTCTTCCGGGGACAGGAACACGCAGGGACTCTGCAGACACAGAGTCAAGCCACAGCCCCGCAGGTGGCACTTTGAGGACTGGCAGGACTGGCAGGCCTGGCCAGCTCACCAGCTCCCCCACCCTCCCACCCCATTCCTGGGCAGAGAGACCGTCTCCTTCCAAGACCACCTGCTTCTTGGGCAAAAGCTGAAGTCCTCTGCTTATTAATGACGTCTAAAGAGAAGACTTCATGGAGACTACTAAAACGGTTTTCTTCCCAGGTCAAAAGCGACATGTGAAGGAAGGAAGCCCTGCTCCCTTCCAGTCTTTGTATGTTACTGGGTGACTTTGTGAAGTCTGGAAGAGCTACAGCCACTTTGTAACCATGAGGAAGCAAACTAGAGAATGACCCAGGTGTACTAGCTCTAGTGGAGCAGAAAGAGAAAATGCTCTGGTGACACAGGTGAGCTGCTGAATTAGCCACAGGGCCGCCTACCGCTGTTTCTGCCATCGGCCACAGTAAAACATCTTCGAAACAGCCAGTTGGGGGCAGATAATCTCTGCTTCCTGACCATCCGCAGCTGAGCAGACACAGACCCCTGGGAAGCCCGGGGGAGGGGCTGCTGTGGCTCCATCCATGCCCGAGAAGGAGGAGTTTGCAGAGACTTCAGGGCCGGGTGGCAGAGGCGCCACAGGAAGGGACCACGGGAAGCCTCACGGGTTCTTCCGCGAGTCTCCTGCACCCACGCACCCCTCCTCTGTCCCCCCACCTTGAGCGCCTCCTGACCCGGGTCCTCACACCATCACCATCATGACAGCGATGCCTGCTTTCCGAGTCCCACGCGGGAGGGGACGGAGGCTGCAACGCGGGATTGACCCCAGCACCTGTGCTACAGCAGCCCGTGTCACCAGGAGGCCGCAGCCGCCACCACCCCCGCTCCCACTTCACTCCCCAGCTGTCGGGGCCCAGTCATGACCCACTGGAGTTTGACATTTGGAAAATAACTTCTTCCTGTATAATTAAGGCATCAACATTTGCTACTTTTTCAAGGAAACTGTTTGTTGAGCTTGTTTTGATTCATTGACCCTGACATAACAGGAAACTCGTTAGCCGAAGATCTGATGTTATCTGTAAGAGTCAGGAAATCCGGTCTTTACATAAAGATAAAAACAATTGCTTGGTGTTTTCTGTTGTTGTGTGCCCTTAAAAGCTTCCTGTTGATGCGAGCCTATAAAAGGAGCTGTTTCTGTGAAATAAATCAGACTTCTTCGTCTCTACTCAGGCTTGAGTGTTCTTTCCTTTCTCAATCCTCACTCCCCAACTCAGGCGTGTTCGTGTTGTGACGGCTGGACCACCACACCCAGCTCTCTGCAGTGGACAGTGGCAGTGACAGCAGCCTTGACAAGTTCAGCGTGGTCATCAGGTTGGGCAGGACAAAGGGGCGGAAGGAACTTCTGGGGCCCAACCTCGCGCCCACTTACCTGCTCTGGGTGTCGGGGTGGCGGCCCACGCAGGCCAGGGCGGCAGTGGTCTGGGTGTCGCCATGCTCGATCTCCTCCTGCACGGCCCACTGGCCCTCACTGCTGACCCTCACCGCTGTGATCTTCACGCCTGCCGCCGCCTTGATTCTGGAAGGGAAGGGAAAGCAAGCACATCAGAACACCATGTTAGTCTGCGACATCGGGAGCCACAGCAGGTCCCTAGGGAGAGTGTCATGGGCTCCGCCCGCTCCCCTGGGCAGTGGGGCTGGCAGTGACCTTCTTTGAAATATCCTGGAATTTTTCTAGGGGCCTGGAAATCAGCGCAGCAGCCACGCACACTGGCGTCTGTTTGGTCCACGTGGCTCCGCCCTTCCTCCCACTGGCCCACGTGGGGTGAGCGTCTGAAGAGGAGGCCACAAGGGACTGGCCCTCACCCAAGCGGGGAGGAGTCCCAGGGCAGGAGGACCCGGGAGCCCACGGACAGGCCACTGTGCCCACGGAGCCCTGACCCCTGGTGACCTCGGACTGACCTGTGGCCCCCGGGCTGTGCTGGGTCGAGCAGCGAGGCAAACAAAACAGCCCCAGAGGCAGCAAAGCCAGGGAGGAGCAGTCGGAGAGCTGAGGACACAGCCCGGGCCCCAGGCTCGGCAAGCACAGTCCCCATACCCGGACGAGCCAGACAGGGACTCTGACCGCCTGTCCCACGGGAGTCCGGGTCCAAAATACACAGACGGTCACAGCTTGGCGGCAAACAGACCAGTGGCCCAGTTTTTGAAAACAGGCAAAGAAACAGATATTTCTGCAAAGAAGATGAGCAAATGACCAACAGAGGCACGCACCTCGCACCACTGAGGAAACAGCAAGGAATCCATGGCGAAAGACCACGCATAGCCACTAGGGTGGTTAAAACCAAAGACAGACGCAGGTGCTGGAAACCAGCAGGAAGGGACAGATGGAGCCCTCATTCCCAGGGGAACGGGGGTGGAGTGACACAGTGTGGCCACCAAGTCCTCAGAACTGAAACCTAGAACTCCAGGGTGATGCAGCAATGCCACTGTTAGGTGTAGGCCCCATAGAATTGAAGACAGAGACTGAACAACTGCATAATAAGCTTTGCCGTGATATTTACGATCTCTAATGGTGGAGATGGCCTCAATGCCCATCAACTGATAAATGGGTAAATAAAAGATGGGCTCTCCTATGGTGGAATATTACTCAGCTATGAAAAGGAATGAAATAGATACAAGTGACAATGATACACCTCAAAAACAGCATTCCAAGCAGAATAAAAGGCCACATATTAAAAGAGGCCACATATAAAATATCCAGAAGGTAAATCCACAGGCAAAAGGCAGATTGGGAGTTTCAGGACGAATGGGAAGTGACTGCTTAGCCAAGCAGCCTGAGCTTCTTTGGGGATCAGTGAAGATGTTTCTGAACTACACAGAGGCAGGGGCTGCACCCTCAGAATGTGCTAAATGCACTACATTACTGGCTCTGAAATTGTTAATTTTATATTACTCGGATTTATCTCAAGTAAGTAAAAGAGAGGAGGACAAGGGAATGACTCCCACCGGGTGTGAGTGAGCCAGAGAGGATGGATCAGAACCAAACACCCTGAGACCCCAGAAAGGGAACCACAAGCAAGGGGAGCAGGCTCAGGGCTGGGCTGTCCTGGAGCCCAGGCTGCTGCCTACTGCACAGGGCCTGGGGAGTGGACCAGGGACCCCAATCCCTGTCGAGTAGAAAGGAAATGACTCTGTCCTCCTTCCTACCCCTGCAGGTCTCACCCCAGCCCTGGTTCACCTGCTTGTTCTTTTGCACATTTATTTTATAAAATATCAGTTTCCCCACCTCTAACACTTTTCCATCTTATCTCTCCCCAGGATCCTTACTCTCCCACCCGCTGTCTCTCACTCCCTCCCTCTGGTCTGATCACAGTCTCCCTCCTACTACCACAGCATCTTTTTAGATTCCACACATCAAGGAGAACATGTGACCTCTGTGTTTCTGAGTCTGGCTAATTCCACACAACACGGTCTCCAGCTCCATCCGCGTTCCTGCAAATGACCAACTTCCTTTCTTCTTGATGGCTGTATAATAATCCACTGTGCATATCAACCATGTTTTCTTCATCCACTCCTCTGTTGATGGACACCCAGGCTGGTTCCACATCTTGGCTGCTGTCGACTGGGCCTCGGTGAGCATGGTCGTGCAGGGGCCCCTGCAGTGGGCCGACTCTCATTGCCCTGGTGAATCCCAGGTCACTTGCTACTTCTGTCTGTAGGTGGCACTGCCCTCTGTGGCTTTCCGAATGGGCCAGGTCCAAACCTGCAGGTTAGGAGCCCCGTGGGTCTCGCGCCCCCTCAACCCCCTCTGGGCACAGAGCTGCGTTCCGGGTGCAGCGCCCGCATCCCTCATGGGAAGCCGGGCCCACCTGCCCCTCTAACATGTGCCGTTTCCTGGGCGGCTGCCAACCTGGCACTGCCACCGACCGATGCCGGCCCTGCCCACCGCACGGCCTCCCGCTGCGTTCCGTGGCTGAATCTGCCCCCTGACAAAGCTCCCTTTCTTGCCCTCACGATGCTCCAGAAATTAATTTATGCAAACCATGAATAGAGGCTCCCTGTTCCCTCCACTGCTATTGGATGGCACAGCCCCTCCACCCTCTGTGTGCCCCAGTCCACCTGAGCTGACCAGTTCTCCCGGGCCCTAGCAGCCAGCACAGCCTTCATCCCTGCAGTCCTCACTGCCAGCCGAGTGACCACCAGCCAACCTAGGTCCCCCACCGGCGAGTGCCCATCCTTAGGTCCGGGACCCCAGCGATGGGTGGAAACTGACCGGACAGTGCCCGACCCCAGACAGCAGAGTCTGCCGGGATTTAGCACCTAGTGCAACCGCCTTGGGGTGCCTGGGCCACGCGAAAGCCACCCTGAGGGAGAGGACACACCGGCGCCAGCCTTGGGGCCCAGGTTTCTGCGTGGTGGGCCCTGCACACTTGTGCACCCCGGAGCTCCACGCTGAGGTTCCCAGGCAGCGCCACCTTCTGCCCCAGCACCTTGCTGGGTGCTGAGCTCAGGACCCATGTTGTTCTCTCTGGCTTCACCCTCCGTTTCCCTTGCCCATCAGGACCCCCCACCTCACCCATGGCCTGGGCCTCTCTGCACACTGGGGCTCCACTGGCTCCTGCAGCTTTCTGGGGGTCCCCGCTGCATTAGCAACCCAAATCGTGAAGGAGCCAGAAACTTCGGTGTGGTTCACTCCCTGGCAGAGAGAAGTCTCCGGAAGCCAGACCCCCTTCCCCAACATTGGCTTCGGCAAGCACCCCCTGGGCACAACACCCCAGACAGCAGACCAAAAGAAACAGGAACCTTTGAAACCCACAGTGCAAGCGGCATAGCACACGGTCACCAACTCATAGCCTCCGTAAGGGCTGAAGCCAAATCAGCACCTGTGCCCTCCCGTCCGAGGGTCTCCATTATTATTATCATTACTATTATTATTACTACCTTTATCACCGCTGTTGTTAGCAGCCACACAGCAGATGCCCTTGACATAGTACAAAGCCCGGACACCACAGAGTGGCTGAGATGAACAGGCCACAGCGGCAAGGAGACAGGAAATGACTCCACAGGGAGCCTGGCCCGGGCCAGTAACCCTAATAAAGTTCACAGCAAGGTCACAGTGCTATGTCAGAAAGGGATCGCCGAGCTCACACAGAACCGGGGGCAGGGAGAGAAGGCAACTGAACATATCCGGCGTCAGGAGGGCCGGAGGCACTGGGCGTCCATCCTCCCCATGAGACAGACGGGAGACACCAGGGACCAGGGCCAGGGTAGGGTTGGCGGGCGCACAGGGGGCTTGGGGCTGTCAATCCCAGTTGCGTGACCCACTCTCCAGGAGGCCCTGAAGCTGGTAACTCAGTTTACCTGTCTGTGAAATGTGGAAGCCAGCCCTGGCCCATGGCGTCAGTACGAAGATTAGGAAGGGAATCAGGGCTCAAGGATGCTTGGGGGAAACCAGGAGAAACAAGCTGACCTACGTTTGTTGCCATTTTCCAAACAACAAACTCCCCGTGTCCGGAGGCCCAGGCAGGATCCCGAACACCACCAGCGCCTACTCCTGTGTCTTTGCAGAAAGTTCCACCCAGTGATTCCTCAGGCAAAGATTCTGTCCAGAATGTATAAAGAACTCAATAAAATGAGACCCTCAAAAGAAAAGTTCCGATCAAAAACTGGGTATCTGAAATGAACAGACACTTCTCAGACCCACACAGGGCCAACAGATACATGAAGAAATACTCAGCATCGCCAGCCAATGGAGAAAGGCACAGAGAACAACTATGAGAGACCCTCTCGCCCCAGAAAGCATGGCCATCGTGAAGAAATCAAACAATGAACAGTGCCGGTGAGGCTGTAGGGAGAAAGGAGCCCGGCCACACCATGGGTACAACCAGTACAACCACCGTGGAAACCAGGGTGCAGGGAGCGTCCTCACAGAACTAAAACCAGGAATCCCATCTTCCTCAGCTATTCTGCTTCTTTTGTTTGTTGTTTTTTTGTTTGTTTGCTTCTTTGTTTTTTGAGACAGGGTCTCACTATGCAGTTCAGACGGACCTGGAACTCACTGTAGCCCAGGCTGGTCTCAAACTCACAGCGATCCTCCTGCCTCAGCCTCCTGAGTGCTGGGATTACAGGAGTGCGCCACCATGCCCTGCTTTCCCCTTTCTTGATATCCTCCCAAAAGAGTTAAAGAAGTCATATTACAGACACATGCCCACCCATGATTATAGCAGGACAGTTCGTGAGAGCTAAACCAAGATACAAGGATCAAGAAAACATAGCATAGGAGGGGGTCACTTCAGCTGCCTGCCTGCCTGAGATCACCCGGCAGGTGCGCGACCTCTAGGACTGCGCGACACAGACCCAGCAAGGACCCAAAGACCCCGGAGGGGGTCTCTTCAGCTGCCTGCCTGCCTGCCTGAGATCAGCCGGCGGGTGCGCAACCTCCCAGACTGCACGACACAGACCCAGCAAGGACCCAAAGACCCCGGAGGGGGTCTCTTCAGCTGTCTGCCTGCCTGAGATCACCCGGCAGGTGCGCGACCTCCCGGACTGTGCAACAACAGACCCAGTAAGGAAGGTAGC